TTCCTTTTTGTAGGCTTCGCTCCCAATTGGGGTGCCAAGCGCACCTGGCGTTGCACCTGATGACCGGCACGTCTCGTTAAAATAAAATCTCGTCTACGGTGCGTCTCGGCGAGGCGAGGCACTTTGCTGCGATGTGCCTGACCAGGCCCGCAATGCCCAGTCGTGCTGTCTGCGGAGATCGGCGGTGGCGCTGGGGGCGGGACGCCCGCGATACCTGGCGCGAGGGCAGTGGGATGCGCGTTGCATTGACCTGGTTACGGTTTGAGCCGACCGCTACGCATCCCATCGTATCCGAAGTCGGGGATTCCCAAGGTGGGAGACTTGCTAAAGTCGCACATTGACAGGAAGAGGTTCGTGAAGATTCCAAACCCAGTGTTTTCGACATGTCCGTGTTTCGATGTGTTTGCTTCATTTTGCTTCGTGTAAGTGGCCGCGGGCGGTCTCGCACAGCAGTTCGAGTCCCAAACGGAATCACCACAACATTGCCCAAGCTTGAGCTGCATGTGGATGGCATTTCACGCTGGCCCCCTGGACGTTTCAATGGTTAGCTAGCAGCTTGCTGTAAAGGGCCCCTAAGGCTCATAGTTTCGTTTTCTTCCTTGCGACCCTCTGGACTGCAGAAGAAAAAAGCACCGGAACAACAAAGAAGACCTTGTGCACGGGAATGCAAGGCCTCAAGGGACCCAGCTCAACGCCCCAATGTTGGAGGCAAGCATGCACAAATAGCTCGCAGCATGCGCGCCATTTCCAAAGGTCCCAAGAGCCACAATGCAGGTTTCACGTAACGGGAATGTGTCGTCGCTTGCGAATTTCACCATAGCACGTCGCAGTTTCACGCATGTCCAGCCTCAGCTTTTCAGCATGATGTCATGTTTAGGGTCCGGACCTGCAACTGGTGTTGTGGCGTGTCGATGTCTAAACATGTCTAAAACTGCCCCTCACCGAATGCATTGTGACTGTGATGAAGTGCGAAGCTAAACATCGAGGTGCCGAACATTGTCCCAAAGGTTTACTGGAGCACCCGTTCGTTGCTCTCGCGTTTTAAGATGCTTACTATGCTGGACATGGCCAGACATCCCTGCTCGTTCTCAACGACATTCCTGACATTGCTGGGCTTGGTGTGTTCAGGGACAGAGTCCCGACATGAAAGACGGTTCCGGTAGCTTTGAAAGGTGATGTATATTCATGGTGTCCGTTTCGCTTTACAATGGCTTGCGTTTGCACCGGCTGTAGGTCTTGTTGCACCTATCCACGTGGGAAAGCTTCCCTTGCAAAGCAACTGGGGCCATTTGGCGATGCCCCCCACTGAGTTCTTCATAGAAGTCGGAGCAACAGAGGGCCATTTTTTCCGCGACGAGCTTGGTGCGAGGCTGGAAACCGGCTTCCTGATCACCTTCGAGCCACACTTCGGGCGCTACTTGAAAGTCATGACAAGTGCCGGGGTCGGGTCGATGCAGTTTCGGGCTTTAGGCTGGCAGACGAACCGATCCATGGTCTTGCCGTTCGCACTTGGATGTAGCAATACGCATGGTTGCAGCACTGACTTCGGCGTGACTACAGCAGTGGGCAAGAGGGGCTGGCAAAGGTGGGCAAGGCGAAGATGCAGCATTCTGGTGGACGGCGTGAGCGTGCCATGTTTATCCCTCGAAGATGTTATTGAGCATTGGCTTCATGGACACTGTGTTGCAGCCATGAAGTTGTCCAGTCATCCTTTGCGAGCACTCCAGTCTCTAGGTGCAGTTGCCGGGAGGATAGACCAAATTTACTTGCAGCTTCCGACAATAGAGTCTGAGTGTTTGGAGACGCTACGTGCACTCGCGGCTTTGGGTTTCCTGCCGCGGCAAGATGAACGAGACGTGGAAGCATGTGCAACACGTGAGGAGTTGTACAAGATTGCGGAATTTAGACAGGGAGCGGGGTCCTGCGCATCATTGCGTTCTCCGTCTGTGCTCCCAGGGCGCCTTCAGCGAAAGGAGCAAGTGCAGCTATTGGTTGCTCCGCTCCAGGTGGCACCAGTGCCTTTTTCGAGGAATTGGGCCCATCTAGAGGCTCCGGCCGAGTTCATGTTGGAAGTCGGGACCAACAACGTGATCTTGCTGCGAGACAGCTTGCCGCCAACCGACAGACGCTTCCTGCTGTCTTTCGAGCCCCTCCTTGACAAATATGCCGACCTCATTACATCTTGGCCTTCGGTTGCGAATTCAGATGCGGCAAGCACCATAGGGGCCCACTATTCGAGAGGTGTCATGCTGCCGTATGCGGTTGGTTGCCCCGCATCCGACGAAGTGGCCTTGTTCCACGTCGGCCTGGCCGACGTATGCAGCAGTCTCCTCAACATTTCTGAAGGTTTTCGGGGGCAGGGGTGGTCGCACTGGTTCAAAGACTTGAAGGACACATGCGCTAAACAGATGGATGTGCGGCTGGTGCCCTGCATCTCTCTTGAGGCTGTGATTCGGGATCTGCTCCTGGGTGGCCATATCTCTTTCTTGAAAATCGATGCCCAAGGGAAGGACTTGGATGTGGTTCGTTCCCTCGGATCTCAGATGCACAAGGTGCGTAGGATTCAGATGGAAGCCCTTCCAAAAAGTCACGAGTCAGTGTGCCTCGACTTGCCTTGACTCAGACAGAACATGCTATAACACATTAACTGATGCTAGAATGGGTCTCTTGCCGTGTTTGTTTTGATGATGCGTCCTCAAGGTATGTGAACCAGCCGACGTGCGATTACATTGTCGCTGAGATGATGAAGCTCGGATTCAAGCCGATCTGCAGGCTGGTAGGGTGTAATTTCTCAGGGTTTGGGGTTTCTAGTAGTCGTCAAAACTCCTTGCTCCACCCAGTAGTACACCAAGGTCCTGTAATACAACACGTCCCAAGACGAGCCGTACTAAGCTTGGCGGCAGCACTGCGATTAATCAGCTTTAAAGTTCAGTCGGCATTGGGGTCAACATCCCTCAGTCCTTGATGTTGTTTTTTCCATCATGCTTGTTCTTCTGGGTGCCATGACCCTTACCAGCATGACTGTGAGATTGTATCACCCTAAACCCTAAACCCTAAACAAGCCCAGCAGGCTGGCAGGCTCCAAGAACTGGACGATCTCTGATATTTGCAGCTTGCAGCTCAAAGGCGAAGGAGATTTGACTTTTTACAGGCAGCGGCGCCCGCTGAATGCTGCGTAGGACAGAATCAGAGACTGGTGGATCGAGTCTCTATGACTCGTTTGCACCTGGCGACGCGACGTTGAACCTGGAAACCCTTCCGCACCACGGCAGGCCCCGGCCTCCCTTAGCAATTGTGCTGAACTGCTCCAAAGCCACCTGATCGTAGACAATCCTGTGCCTTTCAGCGACGAAGTGGGCAGCTCCCACTTTGCGACAGCGCACAAAGACTGCGGGAAAATCACTGGCGACAGCTGTGCTTAGTTAGTGTTATGTCAAGGGGGCTTGCGGTTTTGTGTGTGGGTTGCGGGCCTAGGGCTTGGGACATCTTAGGACTGGTAGGTCTTCAGGAGCATCTTACGTGAAGCTTTCTGACGCACTGCGTCTACAGGGCTCTGCGTTTGTGGAGGCCCTGGTATCTTCAAGCCAGTAGCCCTGAACCTTAAACAGGCCGACCTCCGAGCGCCAATTTGCCAAAAGCACACAACGCCCAGAATTGGTCAGATCTTGGCCTCCAAGACTTCTAGGCTGCAAGACAGTGAAGTGTTAGCTTTTTGTTCTTAGTTGCCAATGGCCAAATACTTGTAAGGTCATCATGGTTTTGGTTTCAAGTGCGATCTATGTGGGCACATGTGTTACGAGTAGCACCGGCGAGCCCCCGTGTTTAAGCTGGCAAGGGCGGGATCACGGTCTGAGCATGTGACGTGAGCATTCATAGCACATGGCCGCAGGTTCGTTTAAAGCATAGTGCAATTGAAGCCAGTAAAGAAGCTGCCAGCACCCCAGCCAGACTGCAGCATCCAGGCAGTTAGACTGTTGACCATCGCTGCATGATTGTCATAATCGGCATCCATATTATTATTGTTATGATTTTTCTTATTATTGTAGACCATTCGTACCCGCGTCTTTGCCAGGACAGTCAGTCCACGCTTTTGCATGATCATGTTCTCAAGAAGTTTCTGCTCCCACATGTAGCCGCCAAAGTGTCATGCAACCTCTTCTTTACCTGTGCGTGCGCGGCATCATTACTTGGTTTCTCTACAAGGTGGGCGGTTTGGAGCCGAACCAACAGACAAAGCACGCTCGTGAGCATCGTGACATGCTTGGTTTGACTGCAGGGCATGTTCACCATACCTTGGGCATCGCAGGAGCGTCGCTTCCGTACGTTTAGTGCAAGCACTGGCTCCGTGCTGTCGTGCGGCGCGGCGCATTCCTGGGCAGCTGCTTTGTTCAGCAACAGGTGAATGTGAACTTGTCGGTGCAGAGTGATGTGCCCGCCTTGTGGACAAACTTGCAGATTCGTGCAAGTTGATGTCAGGTTTCTTATGCCCTCGTCGCTGCCCTGGTGCTGCACGCCGCGCGTCTGTCAACCAAGGGTTGGAACGCCCAACTGCCCTGGTTCCTCCGCTTAGCTGAACAGTGCCATCCTTACTTGGCCGTCCAGCTTCCGTGGTCACAAGTGTGTGTGTGTGTGTGTGCGTGTCTGTGTGTGTGTGTGTGTATGAGTGTGACACTCTTGACTCTATGAGTCAAGCACTCGGAAACATTTCAGGCTGACATTTGTATGTGGCATCGTATGGTGGTTCGCCGGGGTCCTCCTCACGATCATTCGATCGCTTCGCATCGACCAAGAGGGCATGGGGTTGCCACTGGATCAGAAGGAATCCATCATTCCAAGGTTGTGGCTGGTCTGCTCAGTTAGTGGTGTGTTGCATCTCTGCAGTCGTGCGCAATTCAGTCCGGCTGCTTGTTTCGTGCGACGCGCCAGCTGCAGACGATGTGCACCCAGGATAGCCCTGTCGCAGAACCGCCGCAACAAAGATTTCATTGCTTTGGCTCACCGACTAAGCTTCGGCTGCATTTTCTTGTGCATACTCATGTTCCATGGCCGCATTTTGCAAATCTGTTTCCGCAATCGCTACGACCCTACCCCGTACAAGTCAGTACTGTCCTGACAGCTGCAGGTTTCTGGTCAGATGATACTCGTGCCCTTACAATAACTTTAGCAACTCTATAGTACAGATACACGAACCTTACACAAACCTTGCGGTACACTTGTGGCAGCTTGAAAGAAACCCCAAAGTACCGTCAGCGTAATCTTGTGGTAGCCTTATCGTAACCTTGTAGTGACCTTATCGCAATCCTGCGGTACCCTTATGCTAACCACAATATTCAGGCCCCTATAATTTAAGGTATATTCCTTGTTTAAGGGGTATTGGGCTCTCTGGGTAGTATCCTTGTAACTCGCTGAAGGCTTTGCCTTGGCATCTTTTCCCTTGGCACCTCCGTGTCGAGCAGCGCAGCTTTGTCGTCTTCACAAGATCACGTGGAATAGGAGGGTACCTTAAACCCTAAACCCTAAACCCTCAAAACCCTAAAAACCCTAAAAACCCTAAAACACTTTCACTGAGACCCCGACTAATGCCCTGTTGTCCCTTAATGCCCGTTATGCTGGGATTCAAAGGGCTACAGGTGCAGAGGCGGCTCGGTTGCAGGCTCTCAGTGACCCATCCACCAGGGATGATGCCCCGGCGCAGCCCGAAGAAGCTTGCCGCCGCAATTGTCAAACAGTTTTCTGATCGGCATTTCAAGGACACGCTCGACACATCTGCCTTCTCTGAGAACAATCTGACCCTTATTCGAGCAAACATCACCCGCGCTGCTATTCAGAAGGGGTACGCTCTGCGCCTTGAGGCCGCGGACACCGACCGCCACCAGCGGGATGTGATCTTCTCCTCGAAGTCTCATGTCAAGGCGAAGGGTCCCTGGCAATTCACTGGCCTGAAGGCTGCCCAGGGCATCAGTGCGTGGTCACCGTCCCTGATGGTTTCCGTGATGGTTGCGACCAGGGCCATGAGCCAACACTTCGTGAGGAACTGCAAATCACACGTTGTGTTTGATTTGGAAAAACCCACCGACATGTTCCTTGCTGAGGTCGAGGAGCTCCTTCACAACACCCCGGGCTACGAAGACATAGTCGCAGATCAAGAGAAGTTTGACGCAAACCAGAATTTGTGGACCCAGCTCGTTGAGCGCCTTTTCTGGGAACAGCTCCGTATTCCGGAGCACATTTTGGACCTTTACTTTTCTAATCGAACTGCCCGGAAGTTGGTGAGCAAGTTTTTCAAATCGATCATTCGCTTCGCGAAAACTTCCGGTGAACCTCTCACCCTTGCTGGGAACACGCTGCTTGCCGCGCTTCTTTCCTATTATCCTTTAGACTACGTAGCGATCGCTGTGTTAGTCATCAAAGGGGACGACTTTTATGCAAGGTTGCTGAACCCGAAGCTAGACAAGGGCAAGTTATGGGCAATTTATCAGGTGACCAGCATGAACATCAGGCATTCGTGGGAGCGGGCCAGCTTTTGTGGGTTCAGCATTAGCGGTGGCTTGTTTGTGCCAGACAGCTTCCGACTTCTCGTCAAGATTGAGAATCACGCCTTTAAAGACTACAAACACTTTTGTGAGTACCAGATTTCACTCCGAGATCAAGTCAAAGTTATCTACCCGAGGCTCCGTGAGGTTCTCAACAGCTCTTGTGAAGTGCACTCTGCTAGCCACTCGGCAGCAGTTGTGGCTTGGGAAGCCGTCGTCGCCTATTGTCATCTCAACGAGGAGCAGTTTTATGGATGCTGTGCTCCCATTGTGATCGCCGAGACCCGCTGGACTGCCGATGCGCACAACGGTTATCTGATCATTGGGCCGACGCATGCCAAGCTTCCTCGCAATGCTTCGGAAGTCGTCTGGACCAAACGCCAGCTGAAGGAACGCCTTAGCGGCGACGACTCTGACGAGCTGGCACGCCGGGTCTTCGGCAGGGCTGGAAACCTTCGTGAGCATGTCTCTTCCGTTGTCGAAGCTATGGCTGATGCTGGTGATGATGAAGGTGCGATCGTTATCCGCAATGCCTATGTCGCCTCAGCTGCTGGCGATGCCGTTGGTCGCACTATTGATCCCAATCGTCCGCGTGTGAATACGGCCAAGCTCGGTAGCATGCTCACCAATGCCGGCGAATTGATAATCGACGCAGCCGTTGCTGTGTGCCAACTTGCGATCAAGAGCGTCTCTGGAACAGCCTGTGAGTTGGTCCAGCACCGTGCCCCGGTTGCTTCCAAGATGAGTGACGTCGTGTTTTTGGGTGAAGTGCAATTCAGGTACGCTGGCTCCTATCTCATGACTGCGCCACCGGGCTCCCTGCTTACCCAAGCTTATTTTTGCGCCGAGACCCGCTTTTACCACATTGGTAGTCCGTATCGCCTCGTCGTATTTGATCCGCACAATTGTGCAGTCTCGGCCGAGTTTCGGGAGGCCGCTGCATGTGGCACTTATGCTCATGCAGTCTCTGCCGTTGGTTTTGGCCATCTCAAGCGCGTTGTTGACTACTTCGGTGGCCCGAAGACTCAGGGCATCCTTGTAGCTTTGATGACTCCAAAGCCGTCTTATGTCTCCAGCCCGTGGGAGGAGAGCCAGTTACTCTTGCCTGAGCTGTCTTGGCTCGTCAGTTATGTCCCTTTAGGCCCGTCACGCGTACCTTACCTTCCCATGTAGCCTCCTCGGCGTAGTGATTGAAGTCCGCGAAGTAGTTACAGTGAAGGCACGGACTTTGGTTTGCACATGCGACTCGCTGTCTCTTAGAGGTTCTTCATCTTAGGGGCGTGTGTCATTGTTGTGTTGGCATGTGCAACTGTTTCACTTTGAAGCTTGCTCGTCATTCGCCTCGCCTGGATTGTCCGAGTGTGAGAGCCGAAACCCTAAACCCCGTAAGGGTACTTTAATGGTACTTTGGGGATACCATAAGCATACTAAAAGGTCCGCTTCCACAGTTAACCCGGTCGACCTTGTAGTTGCCTCTGGATTTGTGCTGTTTTGATTATGAGTTATAAGGGTACATTATAAAGTTTGCTATTTGGGCATTAAGTTGTCCGAAGACACATCAAATGTACGGAAAGGTTTGGGTTCGATGCATGTTATATCCTGAACTGTAAGTCCTAAGCCTTAAACCCGAAACCCTTCAACCCGGCTGGAAGACGAACCGAGGAGTTAGCAGCATCATTGGTCGCGCTATGCCACCGGCCTAGCAAGACCATGCTGTTCTTTGCAGAGTAGAGTTTTTCTAGTTGCTTCAGGCTTTCGGAGTGATTGTTGTTCCAGACATCAAGGCATGATCGGCGAGATGATCTGAGGTTTTTGCGTGCCGCATGCTGCTTTGGCAGTGCAGAATCTCGGATGGACAGGTTCCGGCCTGAGTCTGTGGAGTCGCGTTGCAAGCCACCGCAGAATGAGTTCTCAGCTTTCTGCAGCTTCCTACAGCTTCAGTGAGAGTTAGGATGGCAAGGAGACATTCCTGTTGCGAGCAGGTTGTTGCAGCCGTTTGATCGTTTGCCGGTTGGGGATGCTCTGGGATGCTAGACTTTTCACTTGTGGGACATCCCTTTCCAATCTTTTCACACTAGTTCACTAGGTCGAACTGTAACACAACCTCCAGTAAAATCATGTCCACAATGACCTATGACCTATGCCCAGCATCTTAGCAACGGGTATTTGTCACAGTGAAGTTAGACAAGTTAGAGGGCACAGAGATCATCAATCGCCACAGTTGATCTGTGAGGTGGCTCGGAGATGGCGTTCCGCGCAGCGGCCAGTGAAGCAGCGATGTTGGCACCACAATTCACCGTGCCGTGGTCTCAAGTGATCATTTATGTGAATATATTTATACATATATATATATATACACATTTGAAAGCCTGGGCTACGCAATACGGTGGGTGCCATGAGTTGAGGTCATAATAGCATGTGCGGATGCAGCTGGTCCGGCAAGTTGGTGGCAAGGCACAGCACGTATGCAAGCACCAAGCATTGTTGTAGAACCTCCGTATTCTCCGCTTTGCCCTCAGCCGTGCTGCGACTGGCTTCTTGGCTGCTGTTCGCTGCAGCGCTCGTGGTGGTTGCCTGGATGCCGCCTCGTTTGCGACCACCATCAGTCTGGGAGATGTTGGAAAGCTCCTCGGTCCAGACTGCTGCTTGCCCTCTCGAGGGCCTTGTGCTGATAGCCGTGACTGCGAGGTGTTGCTTTGGATGTCATTGCCTTTGCCGCTGGGTTGAATTAATAATTAGTGGTTTCTGAGTGGTCGAGTAAACTTCTCAGAATGAGACGGGGTTTGGGCTTATGCGCATCCGGTTCAGGCGATGATCACCCTGAGTATGCCACACGTTCACAACGATGGCATCCCGGTGAAACAAGAAGGTCTTCGGTGGTTTTTCCTCGAAGAAGTTGCTAGTTATATGGCATATCTTGCGGCTTGACACACAGCAGGCGTGCTTGATCGGACATAAAACGCCTTAGCCCTAAAACGAGGAACGAGGGGTTTCACAAAGAAGGCATCCCAAACCCAAAGCCCTGGGCCCGAAACCCCAGAAGCTGCAAAGGAATGATCCCAGTGATGCTGGTCTTTGTGGTGCTCTGCATCCTTTGCATCAACTTTCGGGCGCCACGTCTCTGTCGTTACATTCATGAGGGCTACTACAAGGTTTAGGGTTTAGAGGTTTGGGGCTTTAGGGGTTTAGGGGTTTCGCGTGCTCAGCCACGAGTGCTGGCGTCTGAAGGGATTCAGGGCTTAGTACATTGCAGTCCCTGTGCAACAAAAAGGTTGGTTACCCTGGATGCAAAAAAAAAGGTTGGTTGCTCCGCAGGGCGACTGTAAGGATTGCTTGTTGTTGGCTGTTTCCAGACACTGCAATGCCAGTCCCACTGCTGCAGGAGACTCGGGCCATTATCACTGAATTTGTGGAGCCTATCGTGCGCCTTGGATGATCTCGGATGCATATCCGGATTCGCATGCTTTTGAGCGCGAGTCAGCGCGTGGACACATTTGTTACCTGCTTAAATCCCAAGTCCTCAACACCAAACCCTGAAACCTCAGGGCAAGACAACCATCTGTCAGTATCACGCCGACTTGCGTTGGAGAAATTTAGGGCGCGCCGACTGGCACAAGCAAGAACCTGAAAAAAGACACCGAAGCTGATTGGAATAAGCCGAGGCCCTTTCTGGCCACAGAGGTTTCCGAGCCACCTCCCGCGCACCTTCGCGAAGCGCTTCGGCGAAGTGCGCATGGGCTCTTCGACTCTTGGTTGCAAAATTCAGATCCCCCTAAAGCCCTGTTCGAACTCCCTAACCCCCCAGGTACCTACTATATAGGGTACTAGAGCCCCCAAGGCCCTATATAGTAGGTACCTGGGGAGGGCCCCTGTAGTAGCTGGTTGCAGCGCATGCTGACAGCTTCAGGCTGGAGGCGGGGAGATTTTCCGCACATCTGCTTCAGGAGTTCTACTTGACTACTTTACTCAGTTTCCTTGGGTTGCATGCAGTGAGTCTGAGGTCATCAACTCGCTGTTGATGTTGCGGCAAGCAATGCAGCAGCTTAGCGTGAAATCCACGTCATGTGCCTGCTTCATTGTGTGCTTGCTCATGAACCTTTCTTCCATGAATTGAACCTGAACCCTAAACCCTAAACCCTAAACCCTAAATCGCTCAGCCATGTAGGAGGCAAAAAAAACCCTAAACCCTAAACCCTAAACCCTAAACCCCAAACCTGAAGCAATCTGTCTGCGGAGGCACCACGTAGCGCAAAGCCGCGCGCGGGAGATTGACGACCAATGGAAGCCACCCGAAGCTGAGCCTCGCGGCTGCGCAGAAGCGGGCATGCCATGTGCGACAGCATCGAAGCCATCGAACCCATGAAGTGGGTCCTTATAATAAGGATCCTATTATTTAGGGTACTATATTAGGGTCCCCTATTTTCGGAAACCCCCAAGTAGACCCTGAACCCCAGGCCCTAAAACTATAAAAAGGCCAACAGCCCTAAACTCTACCAGCGACCCTGAAACCTTCAAGAAAAAAAGACCCAAGAACAATCGAGGTCGTGGGACTATCGGCCAGAGCCCGAACTTGAGAGGCGCGGACCGTGGCTTGGGTTTCGTCTTGCCATGTTTGGGTTTAGGGTTTAGGGTTTAGGGTTTCCTCGTTCAAAAAAAGGGTTTAGGGTTTAGGGTTGGGAGGCTGAGGCTCCATGCTGAAGAGGTTTTTGGGGTATGTTATGGGTATAAGTCCTTTGCGTGCGGTTCATTGCTTTTCAGCGATTTAACATCCATTTTTTGGGAGGTGCAGCGTATCAGTGCAGCAAGCAATTTGTCGCTCATTGCCAGGATCTCAAACAGTTAAACCTTTGCTACCTTGAGCAGGCTAGAGCTCACGAACTGTGAGCGTACCTCAGGTCTTGAGCTATCGAGAATGCCCAAGCCGCAAGTCTGACCCGACGTCTGTGCAAGGGCTGAGGACAGCGATTACTTCGGGGAGTATGCGGACAGCGAGTCTTCGATGATGCCTTCGCAGGGTGACCTGTGCCTCGCCTATTGATGCCCATGGGCGGTGGATGGTGCTCAGTGTCATGTATACTCGTCATTCACAACGCCCGTCCCTGGCCTTTGTAACAGTGGGGTTTGACATTAACCTGAGCGGTTGCGGTCCAGAGGGTTAGGCAGTTGGTGCGGCGGCAGGAGCTGTGGCAGTGTTTCTGTCTCGGTCAGTTATCACACCGTGAGCGTGCCAAGTTCGATGCACAGACAGTTGATGGATGGACTTCGGCATCCCTGTGTCAGATGAGTTCAGATGATGTTGAGGATGTGGGTGGACAGTTGGCCTATCACGCTTGCGATGCGCTGGCGCTCGGAGGCCAAGGGCTGTTTCGTGATCGTCCGGTTTGGGGATGCGAAGGTTGGCTCAACTTCGCATGCTTGGTCCCTTGCTCGTCGGCCCCCGGGGCCTACTTCTGCCTACTGCAAGATGACATGTGAGGGTCCGCTTCGTGAGGATAAACTTTCAACCGTATACCAGATTCAGAACCCTAAACCCTAAACCCTGAACCCTAAACCCTAAACCCTGCAATGTGGGCTCGTCCTTGCTAAGTAGGAGGCAAATAACCCTAAACCCTAAACCCTAGAACTTCCAGACAACGTGGGCTCGAAAGAGTATGCAGAGCAGATGGCAGACAGCAGCAGGACGTCAGATCTTCCGCCTCACTGCGTGCAGCTGAAAGCTTTGGGGCAACGCGAGTTCCGGAACCCAGGAGCCCATCCTCAGACAGCAACCCTTTAGTACCCTTGTGGCATCCTTCTACGACCCTTCCCATACCGTTTCCCAGAGAGCCCACTACCCCTTACTTAAGCAATATACCTTAAATTATAGGGGCCCTAATATTATCATTTAAGGTATATCTCCCTTAATTGAGGGACATTGGGTTCTCTGGGTTTAGCACCATTTAGAGCCTCCTTCCTCTTTTTGGGGGCGTGTTTCGCCATGGCGGGGCTTGAGGGCGACCTGCAAGCAGCCTTCGAGGCCGGGTTTAAGGGTTAAGGGTTCAGGGTTTAGGGGTTAGGGTTTTAGGGTTAAGGGTTCAGGGTTTAGGGTCAAGGGTTTAGGGTTTAGGCTTAGAGGTTTAGGCAAGGGAGGAAGGGCTCGAAAGGGGTTGGGATTTAGGTTCAGCTTCAGGTGCTGAGAGATCGGGAGAGAAGGACAAAGACATGATAGCAGAGGGGAAAAAATCTGACAGTCTGATAGGCTCCAAAGCGACTGATGGGTCAGTATCTCGTTTTCGAGAAGGAAACTACAGTCGAGTTCGGATCAAGGAGGAGATACGGCGAACAAGGCACTGGTTTGCCATAATGTCAGTTAGCAGCCGCAACTGTCGCACAGGGGATTGACGGGCGTGAAATGGAACTGAGAAGGTCAGGGCTTCGGAACACTGTTTTGTGTAGCACTCGGGGTTCAGCTCAGTGAAGAGTCATTGGTGCAGCGAGGATGACGATGTATATGATGCATGTGATTTTGCAATGAACGATTTAGTGATAGTGCGGATAGCGCGGGAGGTTGCAATCAAGTACCAACTGCCTTATACGAAGGGCTGGCACGATCATCGGCTGCATGCGTCAACGACGATAATGTCGGGTACTATTTCCGCGAGTGCTGCTGCTACTACTGCCACGACGACTTCGACTTCTACTGCCGCGACCACGACAACTCCACTAACAATTGCTCTTGTTCTTATCAGTAATGCTCTGGTCATTGTTACTATTATCATTATTACTATTATTTATGATCATCATCGTCATCATTATTATTAGTACTATTATTTTTATGTTTACCATTATTGTTGCTATTAGTATTCGCTGCTGCTAGCACTATGGCGGCTACGACGACCAGGACTACTGCCGCCACCACCGCACGGACTACGACGAATACTACTTCTATTGCTGATGCTGCTGTCGCTGCCTCCGTTCCTCCTGCTTTGTCTGACACTGCTACTCGCTACTGCTTTCCCACGGCCACTTGAGCGTATTGCTACTGGCGCTTTCTTGTCGAAGTCGTAGTGGTGATGTTCGTCATGGTCACCCTGAGATGTCCAGAGTGTCGGCATCGTCGCGATGATAGCCATCGCCGGAGTATTATCTTGATCGCCTGAACATCACGATGGGCACGCACACCCATCGTCTTTGTGTCAGTATCCCCAACGAGTGGCAGTGTTTCCAACTTTCCTATGAACAGCGACCCGCCGATTTGTTGGGGACAGTGCCGAGCCTCTTGAGAGTCCTTCAGTTAGGATGTGGCATGACTTGGGGAGTGTCTCTTACAGCAACACTATGCACGGTCCTGTTCCGGAGAACAAACCGTCACCTTGGCACGAAGCGACAATAAACTTGCAATTCTTGAGAGGCAGATTTTTGAAAATGATTTCTGGTTATATAATGAGAAATGAGAGGTTATTGTGGTTATTCTCGGGAGAGAGATCCGTAGTTGGTTATTCTTGGGAGAGAGAAAAGGGCTTTCTTTGGGAAAGAGAACTGTTATCCTTGGGGGAGATAGCAGGTTGTTCTTCACAAAGATAAAACTGGTTATATCTGGGGCGGGATAACTGGTTGTTCTTGGGGGAGATAAGTGGTTCTGGTTGGGAGAGATGCCGGTTCTTGGGGAGGATAACTGTTTATTCTTGGGGTCTAGCTGTCGTTCTTGCAAGCTGAGGGGCAGGGGGTGGCTGAGGCCTTTGCCTGGCAAAGTGGTCGAACCCTAAACCCTAAACCCGAAACCCTAAACCCTAAACCCTAAACCCTAAACCCTAAAAGCAGTCCTTAAGGCGTTCCCGCCACTCTGCCAGGCGCTTCGCCAGGAGATCGAGGTCTTCTTCGAAGGCCTGGTCCTACACAGGGTTGTGCTGGAGCAGAGTGCACTTCAGAGTCTAGGGTCTTAGTACAATCTGGGAGCTTCCGAAAATAAGGGGTACCTTATTTATCTTATTTTGGGGTCCTTATAATAAGGATCCTACTATATTAGGGTCCCCTGTTTTCGGGAACCGCCATCTGCAAGCAGCACATGTGTTGTTTCGAATGAGCATGCTCCGAGATGGGGACTTGCAGGGGCCCAGGGTGGATTGCGGCACGTGCTTCTTCTATTGGTACTGGCCGCGCGTTTCGGAAAGCAGCGGCTGGCGCTCCAAAGAACGTCTGTCTTTTTGGAAGACTGCTTCGCGAAGCCCTAAACCCCGTTCCGACTGTAACAGGAAGGAGCCAAACCCTCGACACTTCGACAAAAAACCCAAGCCCTAAACCCAAAGAAGGCACTTCCTTTGGAGCTTTGCATCGGCCTCGAAGAAGTCGGAAGCCTTCAGGGATCCTGAGCCCTAAACTCAAGGCCTCAGGCGCCCACCTCCTGTGGGTGGGTGGCGCTGAAGTGCCTCGCGATCCATCGCGAAAGGCTGACCAGTACGCCAGCCCGCCTCTCCACAGCCATGGGGACCGTAGCGCCCACGTCGCGCCCGGAACAAGAACACGTTCTCCCCGGACCAGTACCGGTCCCTTCATAAAGGCATTACCCTGAAACCCAAACCTGAGCCCTGGAGCGACCTCGGCCATTGGCCCCTCGGCCGGCGCTGCGCTGCTTCCCTGCCCTGCCGTACCTGGCATGAGTTTAGGCCTAAGCCCTAAAAAGGAATGGGTTTGGGTGGCTTGGCCGCCTTACACGGAGTCGGGTGGCAAAGCAAGAAGGAAAAAGTCTTCTGTAGACAGGCTTTCCCAGCTCCTCGCCACACTACGACGGACGCACTCGACACAACCTTGTCGCAAGATACTATTGCCTACGAAGCCTAAACCCTCGACCCTAAGCACTAAGACTAAACCACGAGGGAGCCGAATGACATGCCGACTATGTGAAACAGAGGACACTTGGAATCATGGATGATGAAGGGAACCCTGGCCCTGGCTCTCTTGCACAGGCGTCCACGAGAAGCTGAATCGGCTGCAGTCTGCGGTAGTGGTGCAGGCCGGGGCCCGAGCTTCTGGGGCGGGCTTCGGGCTTAAGGGTTTAGGGTTTCGGGTTTCGGGTTTAGGAAAATTAGGATGAAAGATAGAGCTGTACCGGCCCCTGCACAAGAAGCCGCAGCCCGATCTTGGCTACTTCCAGGCCTCATGCTGCTTACACCTTAATCATGGGGCTGTCTCAATGGCCCTGTTTTGGATAAGTAACAGTATGCCCTTGTAGATTCATATCCTTAATTTCAGGTCCTGATACCACTTACACACGACATGCCATGAGCCGTCACTGCCAGGAGATCCTGCGCACAAAACATGGGGATGCCGAAGTGAAGCAGGAGGTTGGGGTGCCAGTGGTAAGAGAACTCCGACCATCGACTCTACAGGGCTTTTATCGCAGTAGCAGCTGGAGCTATGATGTGCGTGGTAGCTATTCGAGGAGTAGGGCCGTTCATCAGGGGATTTTCGGTATTCTGCTCAAGGTGGGGGGGTTTTGACTACGACTCAAGCAAGTTATCTTCGAGCTGCAGGTAGGAGCAAAAATGCTGCACACTAAGGCCTTACTAGCCTCAAACCTATAGGTTCTCAGAGCCAAGCCCAAGACACCATGCTTGCAAAACTCCGGCCGATGTAAGAGCTATGTTGACCCGGCTGGCGGAGCGTAGACATACGTCACCAAAGTGAGGTGTGTGCGCATAGTACTTTTGCCACATTGAATCCCTTGTACTACAACTTATACTTAATGTCCTGAACAAGAGACGAGAAAAGATGACTATCCCTAAACCCTAAACGCCCTAAACCCTAAAACCCTAAACCCAGCTTGGATCCCCAATGGGAGGACCAAGTGGCAGAGCTCTTTGAAGGGCCGGAGGATCCACTTATCTCTGTGCCGATCGAAGTGGCGGATTTTCTCAAAAAGTCATGGGGGTTTAGGGTTAAGGGTTTAGGGTTCGGGGATGTTGTGGGCTTCGGGCTCATCTTGGCGGAGCTTTCGATACTTCCGGTCTACATACATTCCTCTTCTCCACCAGCCGAGGCTCTCGAACCAAAGCCCCGGACCCGGAACTCCTGATAAAGAGGACCCAGTCAAGTTCTTGAGCTGAGCCGCACAGCTTGGAGCATCCTCCCAAGACCCTAAACCCTAAACCCTAAACTCTAAACCCTAAACCCTAAACCCTCTGTGGTCCCTAAGCCCTGAACCCTCGAAGCTGGGGTTTCTTTTGAACCCCTTTTCCTCGCTATTCTACTATAAACCCAAGCAGGTATTGAACACAGTAGTCCCAATTTGGGCTTCAAGGTGCCACAATGCCGATGGCAGTCGCAATAGGTTTTACGGGTTTGAGGGGACGCTTGAAACCCCCCCAAACCCGAAAC